CGGCAAGTCCGTCAGGAACAAGGGCAACCTGACCCAGCACCAGAAGGCTCACGGCCCTAAAAAAGTCCACCAGTGCAAAGAGTGCGGGAAGACGTTTAAGAAAAACAGGACCCTGATCCACCACCAGCGCCGCCACGCTGGCCAGAAGCCCTTCCAGTGCCCCGACTGCCAGAAATCCTTCATCTTCTCTTCCCATCTCCTCCTGCACCAGCGCATCCACACTGGTGAGCGGCCCTACAAGTGTGGGGAGTGTGGGAAGGGCTTTACACGGAGCTCCAGCCTGATCTGGCACCAGCTGACCCACACTGGTGAGAATACATACCAATGTGGGGAGTGTGGGAGTGGCTTCAAGTTCAGGAAATACCTGATCAGACACCAGCGGACCCATAGCAGTGAGCGACCCTACAAGTGTGAGGAGTGTGGGGAGGCCTTCAAGCACAGCACCGACTTGACGAAACACCAGCGGACCCACACCGACGAGAGGCCCTACAAGTGTGCACAGTGCGGGAAGGGCTTTGTGCAGAGCTCCAACCTGATCAGGCACCAGCTGACCCACACCGGGGAGAAGCCATGCCAGTGTGGGGAGTGCGGGATGGAGTTCAAGTTCAGGCGCTACCTGATCAGACACCAGCAGATCCATAGCAGTGACCGGCCCTACAAGTGTGGGGAGTGCGGGAAGGGCTTTGTTCAGAGCTCTGCCCTGATCAGTCACCAGCGCATCCACACTGGTGAGCGGCCCTACAAGTGTGGGGAGTGTGGGACACGGATCTCCAGCCTGATCTGGCACCAGCTGACCCACACTGGTGAGAATACATACCAATGTGGGGAGTGTGGGAGTGGCTTCAAGTTCAGGAAATACCTGATCAGACACCAGCGGACCCATAGCAGTGAGCGACCCTACAAGTGTGAGGAGTGTGGGGAGGCCTTCAAGCACAGCACCGACTTGACGAAACACCAGCGGACCCACACCGACGAGAGGCCCTACAAGTGTGCACAGTGCGGGAAGGGCTTTGTGCAGAGCTCCAACCTGATCAGGCACCAGCTGACCCACACCGGGGAGAAGCCATGCCAGTGTGGGGAGTGCGGGATGGAGTTCAAGTTCAGGCGCTACCTGATCAGAAACCAGCGGATCCATAGCAGTGACCGGCCCTACAAGTGTGGGGAGTGCGGGAAGGGCTTTGTTCAGAGCTCTGCCCTGATCAGTCACCAGCGCATCCACACTGGTGAGCGGCCCTACAAGTGTGGGGAGTGTGGGAAGGGCTTTGTGCAGAGCTCCACCCTGTTCAGTCACCAGCGGATACACAATGGCGAGAGGCCCTACAAGTGTGGGGAGTGTTCGATGGCCTTCAGTCACAGCAGCAAACTGCTCAAACACCAGCAGACCCACAGCAATGAGAGACCCTACAACTGTGGGGAGTGCAGGAAGAGCTTCAAGCAGAGGAAATCCCTGATCACACACCAGTGGATGCACACGGGAGAGCGACCCTACAAGTGTGAGGAGTGCGGGAAGAGCTTTGTACAGAGCTGCAGCCTGATCAGTCACCAGTGGACCCACAATGGTGCACAGCCCTACAAGTGCGGGGAGTGTGGGAAAGCCTTCAGTCAGACCAATGACCTGATCAAGCACCAACGGACCCACACTGGTGAGTGGCCCTACAAATGTGAGGAGTGCGGGAAGAGGTTCAGGTACAGCAACAGCCTGCCCAGGCACCAGCGCATCCACACTGGTGAGCGGCCCTACAAGTGTGGGGACTGCGGGAAGAGCTTTGTGACGAAGTCCACCCTGATGAAACACCAGCGCATCCACACTGCTGAGCAGCCCTACGCCTGCGACCAGTGCGAG